CTGACAGCTTCTGTGGGGGCCAAGGTAAGCAGGACACAGCCTGAACCTCCCCTCCCACCACTGTAGGGTGAGTGTGTTCAGGCCCCGGGCTGGGAGTCTGGGACCCACGTTCCGGTTCTGCTTGTCTTTGGTATGACTTGAGGCGAGTCCTCGCTGGACTTGGGTGCCCTGGCTGTAAAGTGAGGGATTTATCGAGTTCCTCCAGCATGGGCATTTAATTTTTTTCAAAAAGCCATTAGAGACTCTGAAAATAACAATACCAATTTTGTATAACATGTTGACTGTAACTGCTATGGCAGTTCCTAGAAGAGAGAGGTTAGTGCAGATTAAAAAAAGAAAGAAAGAAAAAGATTTCATGAATTTGCGTCAGTTCTCAAGGCAGCGTCTCTACAAAGGTGGCTGATGAGAAGAGGGGTCTTTATCGATGAGCAGAAAGGCCACAAGGGGCCAAGGTCACGTGTGCAGCAGGCTCTGACCTGCGCCCAGCCCAGGACCTGCCCCTCTGGGGTTTCCAGGACCAAACATGGCCTAACCCACAGGCACTGTTTCATTCTGGGCATAGACTTTCACAGTCCCCAAACCATGCTACCCTCTGGCTGGGCCCTTCTGGTTGACGTCATACAGGCTAAATTTTCTACGAAACTCACAGACCTCACAGGAACAGCTGGAAAAGGTTGTGAGTCTGAGGACTTGGTTTGAGCAGGGATGCTTGAAAGTTGGATGCTTCTGAGAAGGTCACTCAGCTTCTCTATGCCGCCATCTTCCTGACTATAAACCGTCCTGGAGGGAGTTTGCAGGCAGGAACCACACCTTTTCATGTGTGCATCCCCAGCAGGTAGCAAAGACCCTGGGGTACTGCAGATGCTCACTAAATGGGTTAAATCTATCCCACCTGCCTGACAGGTATGTGGGATAATATTTTTTTTAATTATAAATCGTGATGCAGGACTTCCCTGGTGGCGCAGTGGTTGAGAGTCCGCCTGCCGATGCAGGGGACACGGGTTCATGCCCGGGTCCGGGAAGATCCCACATGCCGTGGAGCGGCTGGGCCCGTGAGCCATGGCCACTGAGCCTGCGCGTCAGGAGCCTGTGCTCCACAACGGGAGAGGCCACAACAGTGAGAGGCCCGCATACCGCAAAAATAAAATAAAATAAAATAAAAAAGCGTCACGCAAATGTTAGCTAATATTAACTAATATTAATGCTAATATTAGTTAATATGAGTGTTAGGCTGTTGGTCATACAGTTCCGATTCACAGTTAGTCTTCCTATTGCTACTGAAAGCTAAGAGCAATCAGAGCAAAGGGCATAGGTGTTTGTGGCCACACATTTGCAGACAGATGTGGGCCTCCCACATTCCCAGTGTCTGTACACTCGGGGAGGAGAGAAGAGGGCATGAGGATGGAGAAAGGGAGGGATGTCGGATTGCACAGCCTGGTCAAGGGCCAACTGTTTCTCCCTATGTCATCAGGCTGGAGCCAGAACCCTCTGCTCCTTGACCGCTGCTTCCTTCTCTCCTTGGGGAGAACCACGAGCGTGTGCCCTGCAGAGGCCTGGCCCTTGACAGACAGCACCGGCTGGTCCTGGGGCCAAGGGCTGTGGAGACGGAGTCGGGGTGATGCCCTTTGGCCCATTTCCAGCCATTCCTGGAGATTCAAGAAAACAAGTCATTAGTCTGGAGTGTTCCTTAATGAGAGCAAGGCAGCCAGTTTGTTGGGTTTGAGACGCCCCAGGTCAGGGTCTGGGAAGGCACCTGAAATCATTAAGGACCTCTTCCTGGCTGAGGGGCCATGAACTGGAAACTTATCTCTCCAGAGGTGAAGTGGTACCCAACACCTGGGAGGATGGATGGGGTGTGGGGTGGGTAACTATTAGCTTGTAAATTTGCTAACTTCACATTCTCACCTAGAATCATAATTTTATTTACTTACTTTTTTTTTCTTTTTTTTTCGGTACGCGGGCCTCTCACTGTTGTGGCCTCTCCCGTTGCGGAGCACAGGCTCCGGACGCGCAGGCTCAGCGGCCACGGCTCACGGGCTCAGCCGCTCCGCGGCATGTGGGATCTTCCCGGACCGGGGCACGAACCCGTGTCCCCTGCATCGGCAGGCGGACTCTCTACCACTGCGCCACCAGGGAAGCCCTATTTACTTACTCTTTAAGTTGAAAGTGACCTTAGCAATCACTCCCTCAGCTTGCAGATGAGAAGACTAAGGCTCAGAGAGGGAAAGAGGCTTGTCCAGAGCTCCTGTCGACTCCCCTTGTCTTACAAGCCTGGATTTTTTTTTCCCCTTTTTTTTCCTTATACCATTATTTTTTGAGGCTTAGAGCACGTTCCAGGAAAAAAATCAGGACACTGAAAAAACTTATCCATGCTATTCATTCACTCTCAACTCGGGGAAGCTGTTGGCTCTAATGACCTTTCCAAATTAATAAAGTCTGTAAATGCTCAATTGTTTATTGCACACATTGAGTTACACCTCTAAATGGCTGGAGGGACTTGCACGCCCACCTGGAATATTTAGCTCGAGGGCTGTGCAGCCAGCAGACATGCTATGTAGCCTAGGCAGGGGAGCTGTGGCCGGATTTCCTGACAAAGGAGGCAAGGCCTGTTGTCCTTCCCAGAGCCTCCAGGGAACAGCCCACGGTGTGCTCAGAGCCCGTGGCAGACAAAAAATGTTAGCGACAATCTCTGTCCAAGGCTCCTTTCAGAAATTTGGGGGGAGAGACAAACCTTCCTGACATGAGGATAGAATAGTTCCCAAGCAAGTGCTTGATTGCTGCTGTGTGACGTTCGGAGAAAGCAGAGGTGGGAGGTTCTGGAAGGCTGGTTGGAGGAGGTGGAATTTGATGTAGATCCACTAGAAAGAGTAGGATTAGGTCAGGTGGAGGCCACGGCAAAGGGCTTTCTAGTCAGGGAGCAAGGATAAGAATGAGTCCACGTGCCTCGGGGAGGAAGCAGGCACGGGGCATGGGGGTTGGGACTCCCGGGTGGAAGGAGGCCCCACTCTGGGGGATGATGGTGTTTGGATTCCAGGAAGTGGTCACAAGAAGACCCTGTTCCTTATGCTCAGACACCTCCATCTGTGACTACGTTGCAGGAACACCATGTTTACAAGCCATGGGTTCCCTGGCCCAGAGTCACACTGCCTAGTTTGCCCTTGAGTCCTGGTGACAGTCTCCTTGTCCGAGCTTGTGAACCACACAGGCTATTTTGACTTCCAAGATGAAGTGGACAAAAGTCTTGTAGAGAAATGCTGTGTATGTTGTACTGTTACTGCAGGAGGATTTTTAAAAAATTGTGGTATACATAACATAACATTTACCATGTTAACCATTTTTAAGTGTACAGGTTAGTGGCATTAAGTATATTCACGTTGTTGCACAACCACTGCCACCATCCATCTCTAGAACTTTTTCATCTTCCCGAAATTAAACATGAACTCCCCATTCCCGCCCCTTTCCCCAGCTCCCAGTAACCTCTCTATTCTACTTTCTGTCTCTATGAATCTGATTACCCTAGATACCCATATAAGTGGAATCATACAGCATTTGTCCTTTTCTGGCTGGCTTATTTCACTTAGCGTAATGTCCTCAAGTTCATCCATGTTGTAGGATATGTCAGAATCTCCCTCCTTTTTAAGGCTGAATAACATTCCATCACATGCATAGACCACGTGTTTACGCATTCATCCCGTGGACACTTGGGCTGCTCCCATCTCCTGCCCACTGTGAGTAATGCTGCTACGAACATGGGTGTGTGAATATCTGTTTAAGTCCCTTGCAGGACGATTTTGAGCTTTTAAAAAAAGGTGCTTCAGCCTTTCAAATTATCAGGGGTGATCAGCTGGCCCTCGCTGCTATCGCTCCACGAGGAGCAGATTGCCAGCTTGCTGCTCCCCACATGTGAAGACTCCTGCCTTGAGCAGAGCTCTCCATTACCCTCTGCCAAGGACACAGATTGAAGGCTAGACTCTGTGTGCACGTGGCCTAAGCTGCTTCAGTCTGCGTGCTAGCCGGTGTCAAGGCCTCTTCGCCTTCACTTCTTATCCTGAAACACATCAGTCATGTTGAATTTGTCTCTCGCTGAGGTAGCAAGTGCTTTGCACTCTTGCCTGGTAGGTTCTTTCTCTTACTTCCTAAAATGTATTTAGCCACAATTGTAAAAGCCAAGGGAAATCACTCAGGCACCGTTCTCCCTTCTCGTCCTGTATCCTCACCACCCCCACCCCCTCCAAAACTCTCCATATGCTGCTGAAGAGCTAAGGGGCATCCTGTCTTGAAGCATCACTACCTCTGGACATTAATTGGCTCTACAGATCCCAAACTCACCTAAAACACATTAAAGTGATGGCATGCTCAGGCAGAAAGGCTGGAGAACTCACAGTTCAGGTTGGCATTGTCATTAACTCAAGTCTTTGGTGTCAACTCCCTCCCGCACCGAATGTCCTGCCTGGCCTTACAGTCGACCTCTGAAATGCATTTTCTGGCCTTTGTTGGTTTGTGTCAGCTCTTGAACATTATTTAAATGTAGTTTGGGGCCCATGCATGCAATTACCATTGTGTTATTATTCAGAACCAGATTGTTAAGATTCAAGCAGCTGTACAAGGAGATGCCCTGTGCTGTGAGGTCCAATTTAGGAGGGCCTTCTGAGCTGGCGAGCGGGGTTGCTAGGCAACCCCATGCTACAGAAGAGGAGGCCTCACTCCGGAGTGGGAAGAAGCCCAGCGCCTTCAGGGAATTGGAGGCAGTGGTCAATCTGAGACTGGCATGGCGCCGGGGAGGGGGAGGGAGGCGACGTGGGCTGAACCCGTGGCCGGAGGAGGGGGGATCTTGCCAGGGACGCCCCCGCAACAAGCACACGTTGTTCTTGGGAGGGGAGAGTGCTGCTGGGAGAGAGAATGCAGAGAAGGTGCAGAAGCCAGAGGTTGGCCACGAAACAGCTGAAGGATACCCAGAGCAGATGCTAATATGTTTCTCCATCCCTTTCTTCTCTTTGCAGGAAATGAGCAGGTTTGCAGAAAAACTGCTGGCCTGAAATTTAAGAAGAAGGCGTCGTTGCTTGTGAGTCTGAATTTTGCTTTCTTAGGTCTGTGGTTTGACAATCTTCCTGGGAAGTGGGTGGGTTTCCCTGTTTGGGGCAGGGAGCATGACCTTGATGGAGTCGGGCTTTTGGTTCTTCTGGAAGGTGCCTCTGGCTGGGTGGGGCTGGACCCAGGGGTGTAAGGCTGTGAAGGTGCATGGTTTGAACCCTGGCTCTGCCCTCTGAGTGGAGGGTGTACCCACTGGCTCACTAAAGAGAGTCGCTCCCTTGTGGTTGATTGGTGTGTGAGGAAAGCAGGGCTCCTCTGGTATGAGGAGGATGTGCACTTTTTTTTTAACCCTGGGGCCACAGACAGTTTGTACAGTTCCAGGTTTGCTGCTAGGGTGACCTTATTTAGAACAGTAGATTCTCATATAGGCCGTTTAACGGTGTGTTAAACTAAGAGCCATCATATGACCCAACCCATGACTCAATCTGAGAATATTATTAATTCACCAGGCACCTGGTGCTGGCACTACAAAAGAAGCATCAGGTCCAGGCTCTGCTCTGGAGGAGCTGTCAGTTCAGTGTGGGAAGAGAAGACGTCTGCACATGAGACCGTGAAAGAACCTTATGAGAGGGCATATATCCTGCTCTGGCCCGCATTGCACAGGCAGAAATGCTGGCGATGAGAGTGGCTAGGGAAGGCTTCCCGGGGAAAGAGAGACGTGAGCTGGGCCGATGGAGGAGGGAGGCTGTTCCGGGGGAAGAGAACAAGGCACAGGTGCCGGGATGGGAACACCCAATGGCTCACATGGAGGATGTCATAGACATGGGTCTAATGAGGGAAGGGAGGAAACACTGGTGACACCGGGCAGGGCCAGATGGTACAGGGCTTGAAATGGCTTCATGAATTCCACAAAGAATCACGATGGAGTCAAGTGTCCCTCATCTATGTAAGTAAAATTAAGTTTCTGCCAGTTTATGACTCATTATGTGAAAATGGCCACATGGATTTTTCAACAAGTTTGAGGTTGTATTTGAGATTAATATATACACTGGATAGATTACAGGAAATCCACATTGGGCGTATTCCTTGTATCTCAGTGAGAGAAAGAGAGAGAGAGAGACAGGGAGAGATACAGCCTTCTCCAGACAGCTGCAACTAAGGATCTTGAGATCAGCGATGGGGACGTACCCTAAGCTCCAGGTGGACAGCCACCAGGACAGTGCTCCCCATGTCCACTTGCTTTTCCCTGGAGCTGCTTTTCACACAGGGAGCTCTAGGTACTATGCCCAGTATGAGGAGCAGCTGGGGTTTATTTATTTAACAAAGGCTAATTAATTATTAGTTCCAAGCAAGCAGGAGGAGCTTGCTTGTTCTAAACGTTAAGAACCACATCCAGTATTTATGTAGCCTTGCCAGTTTGCAGCACGCTTGACTGTATTGCCTCACCCGAGCCTCACGAAGCCTCCGTCAGGTAGTCCCGTTTTGCAGACGAGGAAACTGAAGCTCGGAGCAGGTAAATATTTTGTTCGAGTTTGCTCAGCTGGTAGAGCTGATGTTCACACTGACTTTCCACTGCACGTCACTAGATGTCTGATTATGGAGCAGGCCTTCTGGGTCTGCCCCTGCCTCCTTCTCATTCGTCCTGGGGAAGGAGAGTGCTGTGCGGTCCCACCGGGTCTGGCTGTGGGAACTCTGTTGTGGAAGGTCACCGTTTTGCTGTGCAGCCTTTCATGGGATATATGATATCAGACTGGTGGTTTTGACTGGGCAGGAAAATGGTTATGGTTCTGCCCTCAAAGACAAAGGCTCATGTGTGCTTCTATCACCAGGGACAATCCTCTGGAAAGATGCAGGAGGGCTGCATTTGGAGCCATTGGTGACTGACTTAGGTTGGGTTCCCTAGAAGCAGAGCCTGAGACAAGGATTCAGGTGCACATGATGTAGCAGAAGAGAGTATTAGGGAAAGCTTGTAAGGGAGAGGGAAGCAGGGTCAGGAAGGAGGAGCTGAGCAAAGATGTGTCAAGGCAAGTCTCTCCTTGGCTGGGTGCCCAGCAGGAAAAAGGGTCTGAGTGGGGCATTGGTCACATTCACTACCCTGCCATGAGCATCACTGCTGTGAAGACAGCCAAATGTAGTTTTCACCTAACCTGGAAGTAATTTTCATTGCATTTTAAGAGTATAGGCATTAAAATAGAAATCAGTGGTGTCAAAGTCTGTCTTCACTGAAATAACTATGTGCTTTTCAAAAGTATAATTTTATTCTTAATAGGTAATACAGTTCCATGGCCCTACATGCAAAAGTACCAAAAAGTATACTGTGAAAAATCTCCTTCCCACCTCTGTCTGCAAGCAGTCCAACTCCTCCCCTGGTGACAACCAATATTACCCAGATTTGGGGTTACTTGCCAGTGATAGTCTACACGTATTGACAATGGTGTGGTTTAGATTTCAAAGTTTTGGTGAGTCTGATTGCAGTACAGTAAGACACCACCTACTTGGTCCTCAAGAATCAATCAGTAAGACTGAGTCTATTCCAGAACAGGTTGAGCTGAAATGTACCTTTTATTTGGAGAGAGAGCAGTCCACCAAGTCAGCTCCCAGTGGAATGTTCAAAAGGCATAAAACCTTTATAAACATTTCCAAACTCCTTAGAGTTACTATATAAACAATTGATATAAGAATTGCAAATTATTATTTCCTCATTAAAGCAAATCACCTATAAAAGAGCTTGAGATGCTGTGCTACAGTCCTTGAAATTTCCAAATATTTTAAATAATTTAAAATTTCACGAAATTCACTAATTCAAATCATTGCTGTCTCACTGCATTTATCATCTAATGTCATTTGCGTATCGTTTGATAGCTCACTGAAAGGTGTATTGTTCCCAAAGTGTGTTTAGATCTACTGCAGTGTCAGCACCTTGTGAATTCTCACTGTGGTTTCCTTTTATGAAATGACTTCACTGTGTAATTTGGAGATACTTTCTCAACATAGGAGCTGGTCAGCGATGACATGGGCTCCTTTGCTGGTGAGCTCCCTGTCCTAGGAGGTGTTGAAAGAGCAGTCTGTCGGCAAAGTTACGAAGGAAGTCTACTCTACGTGACGGGCAGGTTTAGAAGACTTTTAAGTTGCTGTCATAGCTGCGTCTGGTTTATGCTTCGTTATCATTATTACCTTTATAGACCATTTACCTCGCTTGAAACGCAGGCTATCGGGCTCACACTGCACACTTACCTTCCGAATTTTGGTTCCACAGGTTTTGTCTAATGCCTATAAATGTCCAAGTAGAACTTATTTTGTCATCTCATAGGCCTGGCGTGTATGTTTTCCTCTTTTCCGCTCTCCATTGTGTTTACATTCTCTCTCGGGTCGCAAGAAAACCCTCTAACTTGTGCGTGACCTGTTCAAGCCCCAAGACGGATCTTGGTGTCACACCCACGAGGCAATAAAAAAAAACCTCATTTCCGTCCAAGAAATAGAATCATTATCTTGATTGAAATAATATCTTTCCTCAACCTGCAGCCAGATAAAGGATCAAATTGGTGGAGTTTCCTTATCACAGCACAGAGTTTGCAGGGCCCCGAATAATGGCCTGTGAGCTGCTGCTGGGGGCGAGTTCTATAAGGCAGAGCCCGCATCTCCTGGGCTGATTTGTCTTATATGATGTCTGGTGCGATGTAAAATAATTCCATTGACGACACATATTGTTATATTAAACGGAGAAGGTAGTGTAGAGCCTAGAACAGTGAGAGCGATGTATGCAACTACTGGCATGATTATGGTGGTAGTTTTTCATTAGGCAACATCTAACATGTATGGGCAATTACAGGAGTGACTGAAAGCTGTAGATGTTTTAGGATGTAGACTTTTAGGATGTGACTGTTCTAGCATCCTATGTTCACTAGGCCTTAGCTTCCCAGGACTGCAGTCAGAGTAAGGGGGTGACTGGGTCCTAGTTTGGGGGTGAACAGCCAGAGGCCAGAAAAGCAACATCTTTGGGAAGGAAAATGAAAGAGCTGTGGGCAAGGAGGCAGGGGTCCTGGGTTCCAGCCCAGATCCACCACTGTCACCACGCAGATGGGGCTTTCGGGTTCCAGCCTGCCTACTGTTCAGAGAGGGTTACACGGAGGTGTCAGGAGAAGGAGGTGAGGCGATGTTTGTGCAAAGTCCAGGATACTAGCTGCAGTCTCAGTCTTCCCTGTTCCCCGTCCACTGAGAGGGGAGGCTCTGCGATACCCCAGGCATTTTTGAGTGCTTACTCTAAGACAGGCATATTAGAACGATGCTACATGTATGAACTCAACCCTCACAACAGTCTTATGCATGAGAAACTTGGATTATCTGCCTTTTACGGGTGAGAAGGAGCAAAGAGTTTCAGTAACTTGCCCAGGGTCACACAGCCAGCCAGTGGTGGAGCTGGGATTTAAAGCCCAGCAGTCTGGTTGGAGGTCTTGAAAATTTAAAATAGACTACATCAGGACTAAAGAATACAGTTCAAACATCTGGGGCTTTTTACCAAGCCTTAAGCTATAATCCTGTGATAGGGAGAAATAATCATAATAACAGTGATGATGATGGTATCTTTGCAATGTTCCAGGAGACCTAAAGGTGGTTCCTGTGGCAGAGGTGGGACATTGAATGAAATTCTAGCCAAGGTTCCTGATCTTGGGCACCTGGTAGCTCAGATCCTTTCTTGGCTTGGGATCCTGCAAAGCTGTCCCCAGCTGCACACACACTGTAGAGCACCAGGGTATGCAGGACTTGCCCCCAGGGACTTGGCCTCTGTCTGTTCCATTCCCCCATCTTCCTGGAGAGCCCTCCCAGGCCCTGGGGGCCATGCTGTCTGCCAAGACTTCTGCAGAGAAGGAAACCATCCCCCTACACCCCGCCCCACTCCTGCTTCACTCCCTCTCTCCCCAAGCACATCGTAAGTGAAATGAAAGCCTGTATCTCCAGAATCTTGTTTTCAGAGGAGTGCTGGCCTGCTGGTGAGCGTTCCTGATTACCATGGTAATCACCAGCAGAACGGAGTGATTTTATAATACATTTCCAT